GATCTTCAGCTGGAAGCGCACAGGTTGCAGTCATCCCAGGGAGACAACCAAATGGCCCGGGACTGCTAGCAAAAATTGCTCTCCTCTTCCTTCCCTGCTCCCCCATTCCCACGCTGCCCAGACGTACCACACATGTTCTCCGTTAACCCAAACCCGAGCCAGCATTAGGTGGCTCCTGCAGCTCCAGGGGTGGCCAAGCCACCTCCCTACACCTTCTGGTAGCAACCTGGCCTTTCAGCTGCCGCTCCTGCGAGAAGTCTCAAAGTAGACCCTGAAAGCAGTGGCAGCTCTTTGGTTTTAGCTCTCACCCACATCTACGTGAACGCAGTCCAGAGCGTGACGCTGGCATTCCCCCACAAGTGAGTATCCAAGTAGACGATCTCCCTAGACAAGGGAGAGACCAGGTAGCTCAGAGGCTGGGAAGAACAGAGAGAGGGGAGACACAGAAAATGATGGGGCTGCAACAGCCAGCAAGCGGTATGGACAGCAAGTCCACCCAGCTCTCTTGCTTAGAAGGTTGCACTTCAGACAACAAACCAGCGTCTCTACCAGGGTAACTGGTAGCACCAGTGACTCCTGGGAGTCTTCAGGGCCCCCTGAAGCTGGGAAGGGAATGAATGGACCTGCCTGCTCCTGCTTCTCTGGCCAACAGCTTAGGTGAGGAGCCCTTCCAGTAGGCTATCACATACAGCAGGACTCTGCTATCTCGTCTGGGTAGGCTTTGAAAAAAAATCAACCACCCTCCCCACTTCTACTTCTTCCAGCTTCGATTGAGTCTGGGAACCGGCTTCTGTTGGTGTGCATTATACATGGTCTGAGCTGTGTCACCCTTTCAAATCCTTCAAAGACATGAGACAAAAGCACATGTATCCCCATCAGTTTAGGAAGCAGAGGACACTTAGCCCAAGGAAGAGCTGTTTAAACTCATGTTATGGGAATTTCAGGTATGCAGAAAAGCCAAGCACAGATTTCCCAGGCACCTGCGGAGGCACTTCTTCACACTGTGAGATGAGGTGACGCCGATGTCTGACAGCAGCTGAGTAGCGAGGCTTCATGACAGTTTTGGAGTAAGATGTTCTGGTGCAACCTCACCCTTGCCACTTCACAACAAGTCCTCAGGCAAATCAAGTTGCTGTGTTCAGGTTTGACCAACACAATGAGGACCCCAACAAAGTGAAATTATATTGAAATAAACAGCACCTTAGCCTAACAGTCCTATTTTCTGGATGGCCCTTACTAGGCAATACCCAGCTTCTGGCAGCATCCTCTAGCTTTTCAGTCATCAGAACCCCAGACTGTTGACTGTCACTGGGGAAGAGGACTGTCTTGGCCTGTGACAATGCTGGAAACACAGAGTTTTACCTTTCCTACATCAAGAGAGAAAAAAAGATTTTCCTCTGGCATTGCCTCTTTCTTCCCTATTCCCCATTTCTTCTTTTAGCTGAAGCCACACTTTTCAATTCAATATTTTCTCAATTTAATTGCATCTGCAACTGTCAAGGAACTCCATTTACCAATGAGTTTAACTTTAACAAATGACAAATTTATAGTATAAATGAGAAGTTTTAAGGGTGTCCAGAGAGCTCCAGTCACACAGCTAGACCCAAAGATAAAGTAACTGCTGCTCTCCTTGGGAGCCTGAAGCACTCCTCTATAGCTCTTCATTAAAGACAGGAGAGCACTACAGGTTTCGGGGGAGTTTGGCTGTACTCGTCCCAGCTGCACATGTATAGGAAGGGTTTTCAGCAGCTATGGAGAAAGTCTGGCCTATTATCTAGCTTTCTCCTCACAGTACATAAGCTTGAGGAAGCTTCTCACTGTAAGAGAATTTAAGCCAGAAATTAGAGGTGACTGTAAAGTGCCTGCTACAAATCCACACTGAGGGTCTGGTCCCACCACACCTCCTCACTCTCCTCCTTCACACACCTTCCACCAGGGCTTAAGATGTTGGAGCCAAGTGCTCATCCTCCCCAACCCAGTCAGCATGTTTCATCCCAGCACTGCTAAGTCTGAAGAAGCCTGCCCAGCTTCTCATCGTCCTGCTCTACTCATCTTCCACCACCTTCTTCTCAGCCTGGCTGCTACCTGGGATGCAAACTGCTGCTTTCCACCAGGACATTATGCATCTCACGAGCAAGGATTTTGTTACCTCTCCCACTCACTCTGCCAGCACTCCCTGGCCCAGCAACTGTGTTCATTCTTTGACGGAGGCTAACGGTGGCCACACAGTAGCCATTAGGTAAATAAAAGCTTCAGTTAAGTCCCACAGAGGTGTCTATTAGACATGTAGACACATGTTAAATTAGGAATGACAGCTCTGAAGTCCCACAATGTAATCTGCAATACACAAATAGCATTTCACACACAGCGGGCCAGCTCCAGGTTAGCTATAATATTCTGTTCATTGCTTGTAAAGAAGCTAGTGCTGGGATGAGTTATCAGAAAAATTTCCTCTCTTCATTTAGTCTGTTATCTCACTTTCGCAAACATCTGCGGGCTCTGATTTGTATTAAATTATCTTTTGGGATTATGTGCTCTCTTAGGCACTTCTTTCGGTAAACTATTTGCCTTAGCATGGTAAATGGACTATGTTAGCAAACCCAACATTTTACAGTTCATGTTCACCGGTATAAACAATGTCAAATTATTGCATGAATAAAGGCATTTTGAGAAACACAGTTGTCTTGACTGTATTGAACTGTCAAGAAGCACTTCTGGCAAAGGTTCGTGCTACCACGCAAGTCAGCTTGATGTCTACCAGGAACAGCAAGGCAGACCTACAGAAGTTGGCAAAGCTGGAAAAGACTGAGGAGACAACAGGGTTAGGATGGACAAATCGGTCAGAGCAGCAGCTTGCTCCCATCAAATGGTGTTAATCTTGAGCAGGATGAGATATATCAGAACAAAGAGAGGGCCGGTCCCTGCACACGCTGCCTGACTTTCCACCTAATTTCTAGCTCTGCGCTGGAATTCATAGAGCCAAGATGTCGGTGCAGGGACCGACCGGGTGTAGGGACACGTCCCACCACCCTTAAAATCCTCCGTCATAAATAACGGATTTCTAACTCTGACTGCAAGCTCATGCTTGAGGAATATATATTTTAGAAATAATGGAAATGTACCAGAGTGTGAAGTCTGCTGCATAGTAGAGAAAACAAAAATACCCCACTGCTGTTAAATGAGTGATAGGGCTTTATAGATGTTTGTTGTCTTGGTTTGCAACCAAACAAATGACATTTTCTAGACAAATAAGTTAGCTCATGGTCACTTTGTTCTTTAAAAGTGATATAGACAAAGGGGAAACAAGGCAAGATTGGCCCGAAATACATGGTAACTTCGTACAGCTCAATCTTGTCTGCAACTGGCAGCAGAGTCCACGTTGTAGAGCTTGATAGCCTGGATGCCAAATGTGTAACACAGTGTGCCTGCAAATAGAGAGTGGTGAAAACACACACCAGAGAGAGGGAGTATCTCATACTGGCAGGCAAGATCAGTATTTCAGAGATACCTACAGGCAAACCGTCTGGCTTTAGTAACACTTATTGAGTCTTACAACTGCAGCCTCAAAATCTAAGGGGCCATGATCGTAACGCTGCCAAGGCCAGTAATGGATGTTGCGTTTGGTCTGTGTTAAGCACATCCAGACAGGCGGCAGCAGGTCCCTTGGGGCCGCCAGCCCCTGCCCCAGCCATGCCGCAGCGGGGCCGGTCTCCAGCTCCCCATGGCCCTGCCCTGCCTGGGAGGTGCCCGGTGCCCAGGGCTGGGACTGCAGATATTTTTCGGCTTTAGGGAGGCACAAGCAGCCCCAACGCCCCAGCATGTCCCATCTCTCCCCTCCAGGCTGCAGAGCAACCTCGATTTTCAATCCCTATTGCACCCTCTCCTCCCCCTCCTCTCCGGCCTCGCCGCACAGAAACTGCTGTAAGAAAACATAAAACGAAACTGAAACAGCGCTAAGTCCAAAGCAGATTTTGCTTGGTTAAGTTTTATTCACGTGTATGGGGGCAGTATCAGCTTTAGCAATCCAAACAAATACTCCGATGGGTATAATTTAGGTGAATCTTCTTTTGCCAAATCAGCGCAGCTACCTGTGGCTGTTTCACACCTCTGCCGGCACTGAAGCTGCTGCCGCTGCTGGCAAGAAGCGGCTGAGCAAGGGGCAGCAGATGTCTGGTGCTGGTGCGTTGGTCTCGTAACTCATCTGAAGCGGAGGGACACCACGCTATCCCTTTGCAGCTCCCTTTGCAAGGGTAACGGTCTAGTTTTTGTAATGCGAATAGATGCTGCTCCCAGCTGCCCGCACTGCCAAGGGGCAGAGGTGTCACACGCTAAAAGCAGCATCTGACTTAAGACATGGACATTAAACACCGAGATCCAGAAGAGGAAAAATGTGTCAAGTGAGAATGAACCCAAGGGAATAAACAGGTTTGAGAGATGGAAATTGCGTGCAAGGAACACTAGTGGAAATTAGTGGCCACACAGGCGTCGGTCAAATTCCCCTTTATACAAACCAGTTGGAGCAAGCCCATATAAAGAGAATTTACATGGCACTAAGGAAACGAAGTTGGACGAAACCCCAACGGTGGAAAATAGTGAGGAAAAGGAAAGCGGTAGGAAATGAGGTGGAAACTAGCACACGAGAAGAAAAACGTGTACCCAGACCAGACTGGGATTAGTTTCCCCCACTCGTAACTGCTATCTTGTCAGCCTGGCACTGTTCAGCATTTTTATCCTTCCTGCTCTTTTGCAAATCTGAGTGCTGAGCTGTTTTCTCTTCATCCTGAGAGCTGTGGTGTCCATCAGTTATTCAGGAAAAATTGTTTCTCAGTTGTAAACATGTAGAGATTGAACCAAACTATACAATTTGGGACAAGGATCACCCCAAAGCCCAAACATGACTGCATTTATGTCCAGAGTTTCAGTTAAAGCCCTTCTTCACGCGTGCATTGAAGATCATTACGTTAACATTTGGGTCAAGGCAGTATAAATGCTATTACGACTCAGTAGTAATCCTTCCTATGAACAGCTTTTGCAAATCCCACTCTGTCATTTCCACGGTCAAAAATGCAGTAAAACGCAGACATAAAGACATCTCCTAAAATCCAGAGCGGGCCGGTGCGAGTGGTGATGTCGAGAGACTGAAAGCCACTCATGCAGAAGGTTTGGTCTTCAATAGACTCCTGGAAGGGAAAGCACGTGTCCTTGCAGCAGCCTGCTCCAGCCCCGGCTCACGGAGCGGGGAGCAGGGAGCCCACGGATACACACCTTTACGATGTATTGCTCTGCTGTCAGCTTGTACTCATGGTGTCCGATTGTGAAGCTTATGTGAGGCAAGCTGGAGAGTCTTCTGCAGTCTACGAGAAACTGTATACGATGCACTGACTGAGATGGGATTGGTTTGCATTTTTTCGAGTATTGCCCTTTGAATTCAAGACTTTTGCGGCAGGTAATAGCGAATTTACTACAGAAAAACAGCATCAGGCTGACTTATGGCCCAACACTGCCCTCCGGCTTTCCAGCTCCTGCACTGAGTCAAACCAGACTAACAGCCCAGACCACCGCACCAAAGCCCCTAGGGACCCAGGGCTGATGAAAATCTTCGCGAGCCCAAAAAGGGACAAGGTGAAGGAGCACTCTGACATCCCCCCTGTACAACTCGGAAGGAAAACCGAGTGTGTGAGCCCCGGTGAACTCATGTTCGCAAGGTTTGCTGAGCAAAAGTCCTCCGATGCTCTGGCTGGCGCTGGGTGGAGGGAGCTGCCTCCAGCCCACACAGGGAGCGCCCTACAGCTGCAGCTCACCCCGCTCCCTCCCGAAACTTCATAGTTTTAGAGGAAAAAAAGGCCTGTGAGGAATACGGCACTTTATACTCTGCCCTGGAGTGGGATTTAAAGAGCAGAAGAAGGACTAAACTCTGGCATGGCCGTTAATTTCCATAAATAATACATTCACTTACAGTAACACAAAAGATCATTTCCTGGCCTTTCTAGTTATTTCATGAAACAACTGGCATGTTAAATGGCACTGCAGAATGCTCCAAGCCCCGGAGGGATCTTTGCTGTAAACTGCAGTGTTTAAAGTCATTGTTTTAGAGGCTTCCTATAAGGAAGAATCTACTTTTTCTGTTGTTGTTAAATCTGCTTTATGAAAACATAGCCCTAAATCTTGTGTATACTTATCAGGTGTCATACCATTAGAACAAAGTAAACCATGGGATACAGAGGACAAGGGTAAAAAAGCCAGTATAATGGTTTGTAGGATATGAGAAGCAAGACATAATTCATTTACATAGCTAGTATGTCCAGCATAAATTAATCCTTGCTGGAAAGAGATAAAAGTTCTGGTAAAATCATTGATGGATGCACCCACTTATACTGGGATAAATTTGAGCCAATATACTCAGCCTGTCTGTGGTTGCTACAAAAACAGTCATAGAAAGTCTTATTTTCGGAATGCTTTTTTGCAGAATCTGAGATGCTGGCTGAGTGCTCTTACATCAGCATTGGAGTATATAAACTTATACTGAAATGACCTTTTTCTTGTTTATGTTACACTAATATAAGTGCATTGGAAATACATATTTTATCTATATCCATTCGTATGTACCATTATAAAACCAACTTGTTATTAAAGCATAGTTTGACATGTATCTGAAAATTTGAATAAAAACTAAATTTAAGGTTTAATTGAGAAAGAATCAGAAGCTTGACGAGTTACACAGATGCAACTCCAAGTCCTCCTCTTACAAAAGGAGGCAGATTAAAAGTCCACTTTTGTCTTTGATCTTTGCCCAGTGCACTGGGCAACCGTAACACTCTTAATTTGCTTCCAAGTGCAGTTTTGTGTCAGGATCAAGACAACTGCAAGGTTAACAGCAACCATACGTGGCAGCTTCACTTGGGGCACTGGAGCTGTGGCGACGTGGTAATTACCCGTAGGAGTCAGCCAAGGGCCAGCAGTAAGGCACAGTAAAAATAAGCTGCTCTCTCCCTGGAGGCGGGTGGGTTTAGCTGTCTCAGGCTTGTCATCTCGACGTTACAAGGGTTCGGTCATGCTATCGGAAAATTGCCAGTGGGGAGATGCGAAGGGTGGCAGAGAGACATCCCAGCCCGTTCCGCAGGCAAGGCGGTGGGAAAGCCCAACCTACGTGGAGCAGCCTCAGCTCACGCAAGCCCCGCAGGGAGGCACAGGGGGCTGGCGACTGCAGGCGTGGGGCCAGAGAGGCCACAAAGCAATACACCGAGGCTGTTCTGGCCGCTGGAGGAGGTGGAGGTTCTCCTCAGAGGGGAGGCCGGTGGGGAATATCAGCAAAGGGGATGCAGGAGACAGCAGAAGGGAAGAAAAGAAAACCAGCGAGGAGACAGAGGAATAACGTTCAGGAGGGAGAAGAAGAGGCAGTGAGGTCTGTCCTGCACCCCGTGGCTCATCTGCCAGGAGCCAGCGTTGCGAACGTCACAGATGCGCCTCCCTCCCGGGAGCCCCAGCACGACACCAGCAGTGAGAGGTCCTGTCAGTGGAACCGTTGTGGGGCTGCAATTACAACACCTTTCCCTTTCCATTTGATGCTGCCGGGGCTGGCCGTCAGCACCGAACCCCTCCTGGCTTGAGCGAGCCACCAGCTATAGCCAGGGACTTTGAAAGGAAGTGCTGCTCTGATTTTCCAGAAGAAAATTATCTCTGATGTAGAGTATGGATTAATTCCTCAGACTGATGCCCCCATTATTTCCTTACACACCGGTACTGATGAGTACGGGGGAGGAAGTGGACATTTGGGGGGAGGGCTGGGGCAGCAAGGCAGATGGGTCAAAACCAGCATGGCTCCGAGTTCAGCGCTGTCCTGGAAATAAGGCTTTCGCTGAGACCTTTCTGAGCAATTATTTCGGTTCTTTTCCCACCCTATAAGCTCTTTCCACCAAATACCAGTTTCTTTTCCTCTCTGGCTGTTTTCTCGCTGTATAGTTTTTACCTCTCCGGTATGTGACGGGCTTGCCCCGATATACTCCTGTAATCGCCTGATTTGTGAAGAGGGGCCGGTGATAAGAGAAGTGCCTGAGTCAACGATGGCTTCGCAGCCATGGGAGCAAAAAGCCACCCGGCCCTGGATCTTTATGCTGCGAGTGAAAAACAAAGCATCTTTAAGCAAATGGCGTATACACCGTGACTGAAGAAGCGTATTATTGCTAGTTAAAGTACCAGAGTACCGTCTGAAGTTAAAACTAGCTGCCAAGCTTTCCCAGTCTTAAAAGAAAAGAACGTCTTTAGAAGACAAGAAAGTAATAGAAGGAAACAGCATGAGGAAGACTTCTTGCTTGTGGACCCACTTTTCTCTCTCAGGATCCTACAGCCCTAATCATTTGTTGCCTGCTGGTGAATTTGTCCTCACCCACAGGTGTGTGTCCTCATCGATTTGTGCACCAGGAGGACCAAAGGGACACTGACTACTTTGACCAAGGTTAACAGGAAAGATGAGAGCGGGACCTGGAGCTGGATTCAGTTCCTGGGTGCCTTAATCTCTTAACTGAATAGTCCACCAAGAGTCAACTTGACCATTGGTGTGTCATATCAAAACATATTAAGGGGCTCTCCCAGAAACCAGCTACCCATGTCACAGCAGATTTAGAGAGCTAATAAACCCCGGTCTCATCCTGGCGAACCCCCTCTGTGAAAGGCACAAGGGTAGAACACTGCAGCCGAGTCCTCCTGCATCTGTATGGCTAGCTGTTTCTGTCTCTGCAGGTTTTACCTGGGGAGGTGAATTCCACCAGGTATTTCATACATACATACATACATACTTGTTCAGGTGTATTTGCCAGTAGCTTTTCTCGGTGACTGGGACCCAGTGGATTGAACCTTTGTAGCGGGAATGGTCTATCCCCCCCAGAATCAACTCACCACCGTTCTCAGTGTCATCTCCTCTGAAAGCAGAAGACAGGTTAAGACAGTCATGGGAGTGTGCCAGCACGTGCCGATGAGATTACACTTAAAAAGCAAAAGACAAACCACAGCCCTTTCTAAATTCAGATATGGATGGCTGAAAGGGATTATTTCTAAATTATAACTGCATATGTCCCAACTCAGAGCCTCCAGACAACCTCTGAGAAGACTTACTGTGGGCTGCCCAGGACTAAGATAGGCATCAGGAGCAGGTTGAGCCAGTTGGTGTCCTCACCTCAGAATAAACACTAGATAAATTGGTGGAGTTACAGCTAGGTCCAGATGAGGTAACAACATTTCTTTTCTGAAATGTGGCTACATGGGTGTAGCACGGCATTTCTGTTCATCTCTACTGGCCAGAAGGAAACCTCTGGCTACTCAGACATGGTGAATCTGAGCTGGGAGCTTTTCTTTTGTTTATGACCAGCTCCAGCAAGAATAAATCCTCGTCCAAAGATTCATGGTCCTCCCCAGCACACTTTTCCTTTTCACTCCATAGTTTTCAGTGTCAAATTGAAAAAGAAAAAAAGAAATGGGGAAAATTACTTTCTAGAATTGAAGATTTATACAGACACACGGTTGTCTCCACGATTAAAATAGTTTTGCTTCTTTTTTGGCAGTGTCACTTTAAAGACTGACCTTTTCAGATAGAAAGAGAAGACCGGCTCCTCTACCAGCTGCTGGTTCATGATGCTGTCAAACACGGGCAGAGCATTGCCCACTGCTAAGGAGGGGTAGCCCAAGCCCAGCACGCCATCAAAGTGAGCAAGGGCAAAGGTTGTTCCTGGCTCAAACACCGACTCGCCGAAGTCCTGTCCTCTGATGGAGATGTTACTTATCTGTTTGGTACAAGTGAAAGTAAAGACACCATCAGTTACAAGAAATTAGCTACGTTTCAGATCCATATCGATGGATTCATTCAGTTTATAAAGCCTGGATATCCTTGTGTGACTTGCATCAACATAGCAGGTGCCCATTTGGTGGGTAGGCTGCATTGATTTCTTTTAATACCTTAATTCTATGGATATTTCTTCATAAACCCAGGACAGGATCCAAGGAGAGAAGCAGAAATGCAAAATAAAATCTTAGGGATTCGTCTGGGCAGCCCAAAGCTGGAGCAGCACCCACACCTCTCAGCACCCGGCTTGGTGGGACCTCGCCCTGCCCTTACCTGAACCAGGCAAGGTCTTCCAGGGCAAGGCCAGTATCTCAACTGCCCTGAAAACAGTTGACCTGGAGGCTGACACCCATTTTAGGTGGAGGCTCACCTGCAGCGTGTCTTTGCCAGCAATGCCCAGAAGCTGTCCCGTGCCGTACTGCAAAGAGAAAGCTTCCCCGCCGTGCTCATACGAATCCGACAGAAAGGACTTAAATTTCTGGTGCACCCCTACACAAAACAAATGACACCTGTGCACCAAGGGGAGGTCCTGGCACCGCGCCTGCTCCCCGATGCAGAGCCGGCCGAGATGCAGGCAAGGCAGATTTTTGCTTGTCTTATGAGGAAGGCGTCGATGGAGGTGCCCGTTCCCCCACAGGCACCCCTGTTTTTCTGTACCTCGGAGGTTATTTTGGCAAATCAAAACAAAAATGGGCATTTCCACTGCTATTTGCAGCTCTCCCAGGTTTATTTTCATGCCTATTACATCAGGCACCTCGTGGTGCGGAGGGATGTTTGGCAGCTGCAGCCGGTGCCTGCCGGCTGCGGGGCAGTGCAGAAGGGCAGGGATGGAGGAGAAAGCCAGGGAGGGGAGGGCGGCCCTTGGGGGTGCTCCAAATCCTCCCCTCCCAAACCCCTGCTGCAGGTGAGCTTCTTGGGAAAGGAGAAATGGCCAAGGTACCCGAGACACGAGGAGTGTAAGGGAGGGTAACGTTTCTTACTGCACGCTTCACTGATGCAATAAGCAGAAGGGACCCAAAAATTGGAGGAGCCGGTGTCAAACACAACGGTGAACCTCTGTGGTGGCGTGCCAACGCTCACAACTCCGTAGTACTGTGCCTGGGGGAGGAACAACCCGTCAGCCCCGGCCTGCCTCGTGGTGAGCTATTCCTGAGGAAAAAGCAGACTTGGGAGCATCACACAATGCTTTCTCAGGGGGTTCAGTGCAATTTCATCTAAACATAAATGCACGCCATAGGAAAGTGTGTCTGGCTGAACGAGTGGCTGAGGGCAGCAGATTTCACTCCAGCTGCATGCATAACAGTGCAGCATTTTTAAAGCCTTTTAAGCAAATGCTCAGTTGGGTTCCCCATGAAGTCAACGAGGCCTCTTGCACTGACTTCAGTAGTGGCAAGGTCAGCTCCAAGAGGTTGAAGCTCTCGCACAACCACGCAGGCTTTCAGGCAGCTCCCTGCTGATGTCGGTAAGAAATCATAGAATCATAGAATTGTTTAGTTTGGAAAAGACCCTTAAGATCGTCAAGTCCAACCGTAAATCTAACACTGCCAAGTCCACCACTAAACCATGTCCCTAAGCACCACATCTACACGTCTTTTAAATACCTCCAGGGATAGTGACT